TCATTTTACATTTCACTTCTTGCATCGAAATGCATCCAGAGCCAGAGGACGGATTCCAACGGTTCGGATCACCATCGGCAATGGTCGTTCGACTCGTCCAGGGAATTTCGATTATATTTCGTGACTCGCGATAGATCGCGACTCGCGCGCCCAGTGTGATACTTTAACGGTGAACTTAAGGTTTAAGGTCCAACGAGAAACTTCACGTGCCCGCGTTGAAAGTTTAATCGAAAATTTCACGAAAATTTCACGAAAATTTCACGAGAGAGAGACGAAATTTCCGTAATCCGATCGATCCTGCGAAATTAATCGGGATCTCGTTTATTCTAGAGGAAAATCTATTTTCTATTTTTATTAAGAATTCGTTTAACGCTTCGATGCAAAGAGATTTGTCGATTATTAACGGGGAAAAAAATGGAAAAATTGCGAAAAAGATAAGAGAAAAATATGTAAAGAAAAGATATTACGTTATATAGTTTTTATTATTCAAGTTTTTTATTTTTATTATTATTATTAATATTATTATTCTTAACGGCACTTACCGGGAGAAAGTGGTCTGTCTAATTCGTAAGAGAAGAAAGGATTCCGGCGAACGTGTGTAAGTAGATCGAAAACGATATTCACGCGATAGGGTTTAGGAGATACGTAGGGCGATTCGCGACCAAAAGCGCGACAAACATGCCATCCAGGAATTTAGAAAGTACAGTGCTTTATTTTTTGTATGACATATTGCGTATTTCTATTATTATACCTTGGACGAAAGAATTTCAGAAATAAGATTCGATTGCAGAGCATTCGCTTTTTAAGGAACAAATAGGTGATTACGGAGAATATTATGGGGTGAACCGTGAGAGAGAGAGAGAGAGAGAGAGAGAGAGAGAGCTCGAGTGAATAATCGGATGACAGATGGAGAGAGAGAGTGTGTGTGTGTGTAGGTGTGCATGAGAGAGAGAGAAAGAGAGAGAGGGCGGAGAAAATGCGTTGGAGAGGAAAAGAGAGAAAGAAGAGAAAGAGGGAGCGAGAGAATAAGAAGCCACGAAATTTGCCTTCTCGATCTGGCGACGTCCAACGCGTGAAAACGATGAATCCCGTTTTCACTGGGACGGCGATTCACTTGTCTAAATTCGTGAACATTCTTCGGCCGTACTAGTTTCGACGAATCGGTTGCTCTTGTTACGCATCACGCGTATATTAAAAGTACGAATGCGAATCGCGTGTGCACGAACGCGAAACGGATGTTGCGAGAGGAAGATAGAGAGAAAGAGAGGGAGAGAGGTGCTGCGGGACGAAGTATCGCGCCTATCGTGCATACGCGCATAAAGTACGAAGGGGAAGGGAAACGGGGGGGAAAAAAAAAAAAAGAAAACGAACGCCGTTGATTATTCGAGGGAAGAGAAGGCTAAGGAATTTGATAAGATGAAATGAAAAAAAAGGGAAGGTCCGTGAACCGGCGAGAAACGATGGAAAAATAGCTGTTTGACGCATCGCGTCCAATGACGAAACGCGTTTAGATCTTAAGAAAATAGAAAAGAAAATTATATAAAAGATACTTATGGACAGGCAACGTCGAAAACTTGCGTCAACTCGGAACACGGGTGAAAAAGAGAGGAACGAAACGAATTTCCGAGACGTTCTGTGTGACAGAAAACGCGCGCCTGTTCGTTTCGCGAGCTCTCTTCTGCAAAAGAGAATTATCTTTATCGTTAAGGTTTCCTCGCATCGCGACGATCCGTAGCTTTATCGTTGATTACCCGGTGTTTTCCGAGTCTAATCGAATACTCGAGGAAAAAGTTTGAAAACGAAGGATAAGGAAAGAAAAAAAGAAATTTAATTCGGCTCTCCATTATCGAGAATAGATACATAGAATTATACCGCGATGGGACGCGAAAGCAAAGCAAAAAGAGGCGAAGGAGGATTGTTATATCGATTATCCCCTGTCGACTCGAGACAAATCGTACTATATCGTATTAGAAACGTACTACAATCACCGTACTACAATCTAACTAATAAGCGAAAAAATTTCGAACAGCAGTCAGGCACTGCGAGATTGTACTGGTTGGCGTAACGCGCACGTCGCTCGGCAAGCCACGCGATTTCTTCCGTCCGCGGCTAAAAGTTGTTCTCCGGGTTGCGGCGGACACGAGGGTTTTCGCGCGACGCGCGCGTACGCTAACCAACATTCGAGGGACAACGTTTTTTTACAGCAAAGCAAAGAGAAGGAAAGGAAAGGAAAGGAAGGGAAAGGAAGGGAAAGGAAGGGAGAGGAAGGAAAGAAAAGGATAAAAGTGGAAAGAAAGTGATAGAGAAGGAAAGAAAAGGAAGGGGAGGGTACGGGAAGGGAAACGTAAACGGAAGGCGAAAGAGCGTAACGAGAGCGAAGCGAACGAAAAGCGTCGCGAGACGAGATAATACCGAGAGAAGTGTAGCTTTTGAACCGAGAGAGCCTTGTGTTAAGTGCCTTCAAGTAACACTTAGATTTTAGGATAGACGAAGGAGAAAAAGAAGAAAAAGAAAAAAAAGAAAAAGAAATCAAGAGGCGCTGGGCGCATCCAGCTGTGAACGAATTTCTACGGTATTATCGGCCGGGTGTCACGTATAATATACATATACAGAGAAACCAATCGACGCGTAATTTCGATGGATTCCTTCCCTCTACCTTGTCTACTTTCGAAGAAAGTACGTAATACACGGCTCGATATCGAGCAAATTAATCGTTACTCTCGAGTACGATCATCGATCCTCTTTTCCGGTGAAAATCGCTCGCGATTCGAAGCGAGACGCGCGAGAAAAGATAGGAGGACGGATCTACCGAAAGATACAGCGATGTCAATGTACCATTTACGAGGAGTGTGACACTCGCCGAACATCTTGAGACCAGTGATATTTTTTTAGAAATTATTTATTTACGCCGAAGGAAACAGAATTTAATCTCGATCACTCGCCTTTATACTGCCAATGTATCCGCTAAGACGTACTCATCTTCGTTGTCGATCCATATACATAGTGACCACCACCATCCCTCACGCGTTACATTTGTTCCTTTTTTCCTCGATTCCTAACAACCGCAATGTGATTCCCATGTGTTTATTTTACTTCGGTTTCTATTTATTCTTATACGTTTCTCCTTGTTCTTTTGTTTTTCCCTTTTATCGCTATATAATTGTTTTTGTTTTAGTAACGAGTATACCGGTACTCGCGTTCCTTTACATTTCTTTCGTTCGTTCGCGTTTAATTAAACAGTACAATTATCTGTAATAAATAATAGCGAATTTACCGCGCGTGGCACGAGGCCGCGCGGAGGAAAAATATCGAGATCGAGAGATCCCTTGGAGGTGTAGCGTTCCACGGGATCCACCGTCGAACGGTACCACGACGCGCGGTCGTTTCGTTATCCGTGACACGAACAACGTCCATCGACTATCAACGATCATCGACACGCGATCATCGAAACCACCACTATAAAGTATTATACAGTGCCACGAATCGAATTCGTTCCGCCGTACCAAGGGAATCTCGCGCTCGACCCTGACTACGATATTCTTATAATAATTAGTACAAGCACCGCTATTGCATTGTATGAAGAAAGAGAGAAAGAAAGAGAGAAACAGAGAGAGAGAGAGAGAGAGAGAAAACGGTGCGTGAGAGTGCGAGAGAGAGAGAGAGAGAGAGAGAGAGAGAGAGTGAAAATGTATGCGAGTGTCTGTGAACGCGCGAAAGTAACCGATAATATCGCGAAGAGAAATAGGGAAAAGAGGTAAGAAACGCGACGAGACGAGACGAGAGCGAGAGAGCGATAGTATAGGAACGTATGTGTGCGTATGTGCCCGTGTGCGCGTGTATGCGAGAGAAAGAACAGAGAGCACGTAAAAATAAATAACGCAACTACAACTTCCGCTCAGCGCCTCGAACGCAAAATATATTTGTAATCGTAATTTCTTTGTCGCCATGTATTTGCCAACGAACGATGATTTATTATTACATTTTTGTCTCCATTTTATATTAATATTATTTAGAGAGCAATAATTATTAACGATTACGCTATGATGATAACGATATTCTTTCTAGATAATTTTTTTGCTTGTTCTCTTGCGACGAATCCGCATGCATGTAAACGCCCACGTACACGCGAGGTGTACGGCACACGAGCAATCGAATGTGCGCGCTGTGCACCGAGATCGAAATCGGCCGCGGAAACGGACGTCGCAAACGTCGTAACGTGGTACTTGCCACGACGAGAAGCGGAAGCCGGTAACGCATCCGTCGTTTACCAGCTTTCGTTTTACCGCGCGAAAAGCGTCGCTTGCTTGTGAAATTTATAAAACGATCGATCGGTGGATCGGAGAGGCGTGCCCCACGCGATCTTTGTCGCGACCAACAATTTCATCGCCCGTACAATCGCGCCACTCCCTCCTCTGACCGATCGTTCCTTTCCTATTTTCTACACCACTGTGCTTCCTTTTCATTTTGTTTTTTGTACACGTATCGTTTCGACTTTTCGAACATTCCAAAATGCTTGTTTCCCTCCTTTTTTTTTTGTCAATTTGTAGAGAGCCTTGTATTCGATTTAGAGCAAAATAAAGTCTAGAAAGGCAACCTCTTCGAGTACCGTTCTTTGCTCTTTTCGTCGTTCCTACGTCTGCACGTGGACTACGACCACGGCGATCACGGCGACCACGGCGACCACCAAGGCTACGAGACAAGGAAGACTTTGTCGCTCACGTATCGCACCCGGAGGAACGAAGAGGAACGAAACGAATGGTGAGAAATCGTACAATTTCCGTATACTGACCAATTTCGTTTTTCACAGGTGATCCAGGCCAACCGGGGTTGGTTCGTTGCTCGTCCCGAGGAGATCGTCGATGCGTCCGTCAAAGGAAGAGAACGCGAGCAACGAGATCGAAAAATACGAGCAACCGTGATACTTACGACCACGACCGCGACCAACGCTCGTTCGCGTACACGGATAATCTTTATTAATCGACGCGTTGCTTGAGTTTCAGATCTCGATCGAAACGTGACCCTGGAGGAAAGGCGAAGAATCGACGAAAGACGAGGACGAGACACGGACGAAACGCGTGGAGTAAATACGAGGGAAAACGTTGAAGGTACGAAAGGAGACGTGGTTCGTTCGAAGACGACTCTCTCTCTCTCTCTCTCTCTCTCTTTTTCTCCCCCTCCCTCCCTCTCTGTTTCTTAGCGTTTCGTTCGTGATCGAGAAGAGGTGTGCGCACAGAGATCGCAGCTGAAGCGTATCGCGATCGTGGAGCACCGATCGTTCCCGCGTATATTGATATAGTAGTCGTCCTAGGAGGGTCTGTGTCGCGATAGAGAGTGTAGCCCCCGTGCGAGGAGATCCTCCTTCGCGCGTAGAACGCGCGAATAATCACGAGAACGTAATCATCATACCCCCGTTGATCCTGTTCCCTTTGACATGCTCGTTGTTGCTAAGCTTGAAAACTTGAATGTTTTTCTTTTTATCGCATGGCCCTCGCCGTTGTAAAGAGCAATCGTGCAACGAAATGTACCGTCTACGGACAGGCTACAGAGAGGGTAGCGCACTAATCGGCCGTTCGAAACGTCTGTTTCGATTGGTTTCAGGTTTCTTCGCGAGCCTTGGTTGGAGCTCGGACGGGACGAGGCGCGTTTCGCGAGCCTCCGCGAACGAGGTGCCGGCCCCGTTGACACCCCAACGACGCGCCAGGCTTCACTGTCCCTCTCGTCATCCTGGGAGAAACAACAATCGGCCGATCGGCACCGTCTCCGTGTCCGGACTCGATCGCCGGCATAATTGTTCGCGCTGTGGCAAGAGCTACAAAAACGCTTACATACTCAAGAGGCATTTGCTGTACGAATGTGGCAAAGCGCCCTCGTTTAATTGTCCCCATTGCGCGTTTAGCTCCAAGTACGAAAGGAACCTGAAGGCGCACATTAATCATCGCCACGTGGCCTCTCAGTCCACCGGCAGCACCGGCACTGCCGTTAATCAGAGGGCCTGAAGGAGAATTCGTACCACCTCCGGATCAACTCCGAGGGCACGCGCGAGTTTTCCACGAAAACGCCCGTTACCTTGAGAAAATCCAATCTTTTCTTTTCTCTTCGCGTCTATCCAGATCCGAGTATCTTTCCTATTTATTTCTCCGTTTTTATCCGATCGACCGTGCGATCGCTCGTTAAACGAGCATCGCTCTATTCAACCCCGTTAAACCCGTTTGCGATACGCGCGCGTATCGCGTCGTCGTTTAATTTCCAATCGTTTTCTTGCATCGACGTAGTACTACGCTCCTTGTATCGGTGTACTCTATCGACTTGTTACCGGTCAACTATCCAAATGGTAATAACAAGCATGTGTTCCTGATCGACGCAACCGAAAACAGCCGTAATACACGTGACAATACATTTCCGTCATACGATTCGGAAGAATTCCTTTTCGTTTTTGCTTCGTGCTCGATGCACGCCAACGAGAAAATTAGCGAGCATGTTAGAACGGAGAGAGACGGTTTTCTCGCTGCCGTTGACGTACGTGATAGAAAAATTAGCGATCCGTCTTCACCGTGGCACGAAGTCGTTGTTGGATCCCGTTTAACGATATATAAAACCAAGAGGAGAACGTAAAAAAAAAAGAAAAGAAAAAAGAAAAAAAAGCGTTGTTGAATATTTTAGAAGACTCGAGAAGAGCGCCAGAAAGAAGATTCGCGAGAAGTAGCATCGCGTAATTCGTTCGGTGGAATTTTTTGGTTCGAACGAGCGACGAGAGAAAAAGAGATATACCTATTTTTTCCGGAATCTTTTCGAGCCTTCGACAAATTGCTAAATCGCCCAATTATTTTTCTACTAATCGTAAGGGAAGCAAGAGTTTTTACACGAGCTATCGCGGATACGGTAATGGATGTTTCGCGAGAAGAATTCCGTCATCCGTTGGTCGAATCGGAATTGGACCAGCTTGTCGTCCGATGATCGTAGTTGTCTCGACGACAAAGTTCATAGTTGGACGCGAGAAAAGGAACGATACCCCATTTCTCCGCGACTACGACGATCGGAATACCGCTGCCGATTTCTCGAATCCGATCGTTAGTCGGAAGGATCGAAACTCTCGATGCAACGAAAAATCTCCGACGCTCTAGTAGTGTCCCTGCTAGTAGTATTCTAGTTCTTTAGCGTAGTTTAGTTCGAAATACCGAAATTCGACAATTCTAGTCACGCAGGTGGTGTGTATATACATATACATATACATATACATATACATATACATATATATATAAACATAAATAAA